CCATATAAAGAAAAAAATATGAAAGTGTGTGTCACGTACTATGGCCACGTGGGGAAGAGGCAAGTGTAAGTATAGCGAATATCATAATATGGCTCAAACTGTCATTGAATATGTAAAAATCAATACCCAACTATAATCCAAACAATGTCAAAAGGCAATATTTACAAATCCGAGAACACACAGGGGACACACAAACAAAACAAACAACACACTGTCAAATCGGTGAGAGAGATACATGGATCTCAAGGCACATGCCAAGATGAACTTAAGAAAGAACACCGACTAGTAAATAAATACATTGGTATAATATACTGTGGAATATTTTATTTTCGCTGGAATTAATTTTCGCTTTTTGGGCGTTTTGTGTGGAATTTATTTTCACTGATTTTTGATGAGTTTAATGTGAAATATAGGAAAAAAAGTATATTCGCTAGATTTTATTTTCACGGAATCATCCCTTCAGCGAAAATAAATTCCAAGCGAAAATAAAGTATTCTACAGTAAATTATAACACATCACTCGTTAATACTGTACTGTAATTGGTCAAAACAGGATCACGTGTCATCGGCTAAATTACCATAGTAGTGCCACGGAAATTACTAGTTCCCTTTGGAGACAAGTACATCAACTAGTGCCCGGGAATGACGTCACTCGTCACCTGATCGTGTGATTTCCAATATGTCGTCTGCTAGTTCGTCGCTGAAATCGTTTGTCCGCCTCGAAAGACTGAACGATTTAGCTTCAGTTCAGAAGAAGAACTTGACACACTAGTAAAAAATAAAGATGCACCTTAGACGAAGGACGCAATCAGGTTTTCTAGAAGCGTCTTTTGTGATGAAATTAGTACACCGCTAGCAGACGTCGAGAAGAAGACGCCAGACGATCTATGCATGTTCCTCCGGCAATTCTACGTGTAATGTGTTATAAAACACTTATTACATGGCCTAATATGTGCAATATGTGCTTAATATTCAATTATCGTCAGTGTGTTTTGTGAATTAACGTACTGTAGAGGCATATATTACACGTAAAGAGATAGACTACCGATTGTCTATGGCGATGCCATTGTATTGAATCTATATCATTGGAAGCTAAATTGAGCTAAAATCCCGCTTTTATAACTTTAGCCATCATCATTCTTTAAATTGGAGTGAACCAAACTTAGAAAGGCTTCAAATTGTACAAAGTCTTTGATATAAATATTATATGCATTTACAATAACGAATACATTTCCCTAACATTGTATTTATATGCAATTACGACATGCGTTTAATCTGTTTAACACAATCGAATCTAACAATACCAAATGACTACCAATCGCTCATTTACATAATCGTAAATCTACTAATATTGTGCAAGAATGTAGGACGAAGTGGCAAATACAAAAGTTCCCTTTTAAGTTCCTGATCAGTGGCAGTTTTGCACCAGTTACAAAATTTAAATTTGCAGTTAAGCAATAAATATGTTTTCACAGTAATTATGCGATTAACTTCACCGATTTCTTTACTTGGTCTGATAAGTGCTAATTTGACACTTATTTCATTTTTCTGGTTCTCGGATTGACACTTTCATACCCCCTTGAACAAAGAATACAGTGCCCATGTGTCTTTAAGGGCCGTTTTACAAGAAGAAATTCCTGTGTGAAAGCACCTAGCAACGCAAAGCAGCGTTGTACATTATTAGATGTGGTGAGTCTATACAAGATTATTTATTGTAATCTGTGGATATGCTGTTGAATTTAAATGACATTGAGTAGTATTTGAATACAAACAAATATTGATGTTCTATATACCAACAAAAATCACATTACATGTGTTCTTACTGGAGAAAAAAGATTAAATGTCTCGTACAAGAAAAAAACACACAAGAATTTGAATAGCATTATAGATGTATAGATCAATTGTTTTATATGACTTTTTTAATATGTGGACATATTTATTTTATACAATTCTATAGGTGTCCGTACCATACATATTTCATACATAACATAATTTATATATATATAATACATATTCAATTACAGTTGTACATAATTCTATGGATAATAAATTTATACAAATTCAATAGATATCGTAAGACTGTATATATTCTTTATAGAAATATTCGATGCAAAATAAAATAAAAGAAAATATCTTTCCCAAAACTATGAATCTTGTGAGTCGGGAGTATGGCAATCATGACCTGTGTTTGAACTGTGGAAGGAACTGCGGTATTATGGTACAATGGTATTACATGTGGTGAAATTTTGGACGTAAGTGTTGTGGGATCTCGACACTCAACCACGTGGGGATATCAAAGAGTTCCGATTCCGACATGGTGATGAGCCCATCGAGTCAAGTTATCTCCGGAATAACCACTAGGTTTTTATCTCACTAAAACTCGAATTCGAGTTTCAGTTACGTCATATTTGTTTGAGTGGATCACCAGATTTGGATTTCTGACTACAATTACCGACATGACTTGTCGACACTGTGACCAGTGCCATTTCTAACAAGCTTTGTTTACACAATTTACCATGTCAGCATACTTGCAGCTGTATCATCCCTAAATGTAATAATCAACCTTATTTGTAACAGTGAACCCTATTTGTAGTAACGATCAACCCTAATTGTAATAACGATTAACCCTATTTGCAATAACGACCAACCCTATTTGTAAAAACAATCAGCCCTATTTGTAATAACAGTCAACCCTATTTGTAATAACAATCAACCCTATTTGTAATAACTGTAAACCCTATTTGTAATAACAATCAACCCTATTTGCAATAACGACCAACCCTATTTGTAATAACGATCAACCCTAATTGTAATAACGCTTAACCCTATTTGCAATAACGACCAACCCTATTTGTAATAAATATCAACCATATTTGTAATAACAGTCAACCCTATTTGTAATAACAATCAACCCTATTTGTAATAACTGTAAACCCTATTTGTAATAACAATCAACCCTATTTGCAATAACGACCAACCCTATTTGTAATAACAATCAACCCTAATTGTAATAACGATTAACCCTATTTGCAATAACGACCAACCCTATTTGTAATAAATATCAACCATATTTGTAATAACAGTCAACCCTATTTGTAATAACGATCAACCCTATTTGTAATAACAGTCAACCCTATTTGTAATAACAGTCAACCCTATTTGTAATAACGATCAACCCTATTTGTAATAACAGTCAACCCTATTTGTAATAACAGTCAACTCTATTTGTAATAACAGTCAACCCTATTTGTAATAACGATCAACCCTATTTGTAATAACGATCAACCCTATTTGTAATAACCGTCAACCCTATTTGTAATAACGATCAACCCTATTTGTAACAACATTCAACCCTATTATTGACAGTTTCTAGTAAGTATGTTTTATTTATAACTCTACCATACACATGCGAAAGGTAAAATATAACTAATAAAATATATCCAACATAGAAAGTTTGACTTTAAAAGCTATTTATATTCATCTCTCCGAAATCGTGTACATGAATACATCTTTATGAAATTGTACATGGAACTAGGTGCAACAAATTCAACCATTCCAGGACAAATAATGTATTCTATTACTAAAGAAACCAATGTTAAGTTAGCAACAGGGATGTGAGTGAATTTATCTACAATTCAGAAATGTTCTAACAATCATTAAGCCTGCCACTATAACAACCTATATACCATCAGAATGCTGTACTAATGTTTGTCTAACGGACAATTTCGTAGTTAAAAACAATCAAAAGGTGGTTTTACACTTTCCGAGACGTCACGCATATTCTGAAGTGTTGTTTTTTTTGTGAGCTGTTTTTCATGACAATGTACAAGAAACATGCGACTCGATTTGTTTATTTATGCTTCAGTTTTCTATAATTATAACGAATTGTTGGTAGTATTTCTGTAGTTATTTTAGTTTGGCTGTGGCTGAAAAACAAAAGCCAGATAAAGAAAAAACGAGATACAGTCTTCTTTATGAAGATATTTTTATCCGCATTACGAATTATGACATCATCGTAATCAAACAGTGCTGAAATACAAATCTTAAATGGTCTTAAAGAAAATATCACCAAAAAAGCCACCATTGTCGATCCTCCTTGTGTTAGATTCCGTTAACATGAATTATGAACGTGCTCCCCACAATGACTGCGTAGCTTTTAATTATGTCTGATACTACCACTACGAGTTACAATGTCAATAATTTACCAAGGCGTTGTACCAGAACGTGCTAAGCGGACTGCCCTTAAACACAGAAATGACAGTAATCGTATTGAAAATAAGGGACTTATATGGTTTATTCAGTTAGAGATGACATTCATCTCATCTCGCAAAAACTATTCATATCAAGTTGAGTACAGTAATATGAGAATAAGGACAGCATTTGCAAACCGTAATTATCTTTCCTCTAAATGATGTGCTCCGGTAGTTTCATTCGGTTAATTTTAAAGGCTCAAATTTTAAAGAGTCAAATTCATGGGCGGGATCAGGGGGCAAGTTTGCATTTATGGTTTCAAATGTGAAGTAAGTGGTTCTCTAGGTCAAATCGAAGATCACATTTGAGGACATTAATTAATTAACAGTGATATAGGCTAAAATTCTTCTTAAAATTAACATATAATCCACTATGACCTTGGAAAAAAACACGAAGATAGTTGTTCATATGAAAACAATCTCGAAAACGTCTGTACATACTCAGTTTATTTATTAAGTATTTCGGACTCTTGTATCACAAAAAGTTGTTCCGTGACTCAATTTATCTCGAGCTCATTTTATTTCAAGCACTGTATAATCCTAAATTATTGCACTTACGTAATTAAAAATAGCGTTCCTGTAGTGAGACTATTACAATTTATACCCTGAACCAACGCTCTTTGTGGTCGGTTTTACGTAATGGATTATTTAAATTGATTCATGAATTGTGCTAACTCAATCATCAGTGTTCAATAACAAACCATTTACCACTTGAAAAGTTTATTATTAACAGTGAATAATAACAGATGTTTTATGTCCGCGTTTTTTTGACCATGTGGTACTGCTTACGAACTGTGACTCTTTTTTTCTTTGGTGTTTGTTTTGCAGCAATTTCATCAAAACCCCAGCTTTCTATCATTTTACAATAACTTGGTGAGTTTGGTTTTATAAGTGTTCTGTTTCTCCGATTCGAATAGTCAATAACGAATCTGCCTTCATCTAAACACTCCGAATGTACCTTCTTTAACATATCTCGAAATGTTGCTAAGTCTTCATCAAAACTGTCACCGTACGCCTTAACCTTAAGCCAAAAAGTGTTGTTGAAGTGTTGATACAGTTTCAAATCGGCGCTGTTTATTTCCAATATTCGCTGTCGTTTCCAATCATCAAGTCTGGATCGCAGTTGGTCGTTTCTCGTATTTTGCTGTATGTATACAATATCTTCAAATTCCCAGCATAAAAGCTTCTTCAACAAAATAAGCGATTCGTCAAAATACTCTGCAATCATAACCAAATCGAAATCATTTGTTGCTTTTTGTATCGCGTGATCCACGAGTGTTTCATTGTAACTGTTCTCAGGGTCAAGTCCTAAATCAAACATCTGCCTGTTTCTCAGTAATGATCTATGGTAATCGCTCATAGTGCGATTCATATACTGGTTTGTATTTGACAAAAAACTTCCGAATGGATCTTGTTTTTTGTATAAGTCGAGGGCATCACTAATATTAAAAAATCCAAATATCGACTCGTATGTAGCCACGGGATGACGTAATATTGTTATATACGTGGCATTTTGAATAATATTGATGGTAGCCGTTTTATTAAATGGAACATGGCTAACAAACATGCTGTACGAGGTGCCTGGAAGAGGGGGCAACAGATGTCGCGCCATTCCACTGTTGAAACGAATTGTGCTCGAAAAATACCCCGGAGGATGGTGTGCTGGTAATACAAACGATAAGCTGTGACTGAGTCCAAAACGTGTGAGTATTGACGAAACTGTCGTACTAGCTGTCTTATATGTCTTCAAGAATACCACCTTTGTTTTTGGCGCATCACATGCTTCATACCACTGATCATTAGACGTCTGAGATGCTCCTGTTACGGAGGTGTTGGAATTTAACCTGTGTTGTAACAAAAATAAAATTGACTATGCACATCATAACTTATCCGACACGTGTTTTACTGGCATCATATAACAGGTGTCATTTTCAATTCACTGTATACGGAAACGTGTACTGGCACAGAAATTACTACGTTGTAAGACATCACGCTGGAAGTCATCATTCTAAATTAAACTACTACAATTCATTCTGTGAATAAAATATTTCGCTTCATGTACAGCACTAGAATGAGTGATGGAAATTGGGGCATGTTTTACCCCACTGTAGATTTGACAACTATGTACGATGTCTATTTTACATAATTAGTTACTTGACTGACTATATTTGTTTACTTTTGTTGTAATATTTATTGATTATTTATCATTAATTTATCTTACATGTGTTTTACAGACAGTATTACAAGTGTCATTTGCACAAACAACAGATACTTAAATGCGTACAGAAACAGAAATTACATATAAGTACGTTGTAAGTCACCATTTTAACTTAAACTACTACAATTCATTATGTAAATAGGTTATTTTTTATAGTTATACTACCCCTACGGGTAGTTTAACGGGAAATAGCGGCTCCTTTTGGAGCCTCGGTCTGGTAAAAGTCCGAGGCGCGCAGCGAGGAGGGGTAGTATAACGAAGTTATACTGCGAATTTGACGAGTTTTGCACGGCTTATTTTAAATCCTGTGGTCATGGCGGATATTTACAGCGCTATTGTGTAAATCGCAATTCTAAACCAGGTGTAGTCAACCGCAATTATCAGCCGTGCTCATTGGCTATAAAAGATGTGTTGAAAAGCTCTAGCCAATCGGCATTTACTCAGCAGAGTTTGTTTTGTTTAACAATAGAATCCACCAACAGTGGACTTTATTGTATTACCATAACCAACACTGATTGGACCACCGGAGATCCGCCAGAATCATGTCCGCTCAAGAATTTGCTGCTCCGGAAATTGACTGGGATTTGGAAAACTGGTTGTCCCAAATTGATGTGGACGACGCCGAGGACTTTAAACTGAGCGATATTCAGAAAGAATTCCGTTTTTTACCTCCAGTTGACAGCAAACAAGTCACCGAATACCAGCAGTCACGCAGACAACCAGACAACTCGCAGCGCTACAAAATGGGGCGTCAAAACATGGAATGAGTGGAAAGAGCAAAGCAGATGACTGATATCGCTGGGATAAAAGGTTATCATACTGGGCATTCAGGAAAGGTACGTATTAGAATTTTCACTTTAGTAATGCAATGTTCGATTTCCCCGCTGACGAGAAATAGTCATAACTTTATGTCGAAAATAATCACTACTCGTTAACTCCATTTTTTCATGCAAACTGTTTGGTGGAATAGCATTTAAATATATATATTATATTCACTGGCACGATACGTCTGATTCATTTCACGCGATAAAGATTTAATGCAAACGGCTTTGGCGTGTTTTAAAAAAGCTGAACGATTGAACGTACTATAACAATATATTGATATTTTACATTGCTATGAGGTGGACTGTTACAAGCTATTGTACTTTAATTTCATATTGATACATTGTATTTTATTTTAATTAAGCAGGTTACACAGGCAACCACGCTGTTCCGGCAAAATTTCGACGAGCAGCTAATAGCAGAAAGAACGGGTCACTCCAGTCTAGCAATTAGAAGCTACGAGCAGACGAAAGCGGTGTCAGACGCATTGCAGCCACCCAAAGCGAAAACTGCGAAAGAAGCGAAAACGCATGACATATCCACCACCCCAACAGACGAGGACAAATCTAATACCACTGTCATAACCGATTCTTCCCAAGTGTTCGTGAATTTTGTAAAAGGAAATATGAAACTTGAAATACGTTTTTAAAATGTATCGTATAATCGTCATTGCGTATTTAAATAATTAAATGAAAATTCCACCTTGTTCTTTGTTTTCATTCAGTGGCTACCTGTTATGTTAATCAGCTTTTCACTCCTGTTGTGCTCATGAATATTTAAATTAACCCATTCATTATTAACAGTCCCGGCTTGTTAATCTAACATTTTACATACCACTGGTCACTGGTAACCTGAGGTGTTCTTCTCACGGTGTTGTTGGAATTTAACCTGTGTATGAAAGGAAATTAAATGAAATTGATTACGGTACATCATTAATTTATCTCAAATTTATCTTAAGTAAAGCATGATAATAATCTATGATATTTAGCATGATAACATGCAATATACGTCATTTTGAAGTGCGTTTTTAGCGCAATGAGTGTGACGAGGTAAGTATCGTGTTTCAGTGCAGTGGTGCGGCGACTGCCGTGATTATGAGTTCCAAAGTTTTCCCTAACTTCATATGCTACAGTATACCACTGACCGTTGGGTACCTGAGTTGTTCATATTACGGTGATGTTGGAACCTACTAGTAACCAGTGTATGGAAAGAAATTAAATTGATGTTTACGCCATTTTACCATTATGTAAGCATGTCTGTTTAATGTTTACCTAATCTTATCATTTCATTTTTTTACTTTGTACATGATCATTTTGTGTACGAGACCTTACCACGACAAGCTTCTACCTAGAAGCTAGATAGTATTGCTATCATTATATTAACACAACATGCATATAATTATTGGAATATTTGGTTTCATTTTAAATTTTCTTGAAATAATGATTCACCTTAATCACAATTATTGATAATTGATTAAAACTAATTAAATTGTTCGATATTTCAAAATTTGACATAGCTATAATATAGGTGGGTATTTGCAGGTCAAAATGTGGGTAATTTTTTACCTGAAGCCAAATTGAAGATAGGAAATTATTTTTTCAATTTGAATAAACATACTTTGTCAACAGACTAGTCAATCTGATTAAAATCCGATG